AAGTCAATGAAATGATTCATGTGATTCATATGATTCGATATGAAAAACCTTCGGTCATTGATACTTTTAAACTGAGAAGCAAAGCTTTTCAAAGTAAAGACTAGGGTGTGTCAGAGTATCAGCACACATGATTCTGTCGCATGCGTCATATGTAATGAGATATGATTGTTTTTCTGTGATAAGTCATATTAGTCATGAAGAATTTTTATCCAACAAAATCACTCTGGGGGCAGCCTACAAAGCATAAACCCATTTATTTGGTGGGCCTCCTTTGGTTCGATAGGATGGTGGTGCATAATCTGAGTCTCTGTACTGGATTGCCCAGGATTTTTCAATATACAGACCTAAGCTCTCACTGGCCTTTTCCGGTCAAAGTATATAGTATATACAAACCCAACTTCTTTATGGACTATTGGGTTCATGCTGTGAAAAAAAACAACTTCTTTGTGGGTTGGTAGACTGACAAAATGTGCCAACCCAACTTCTCAATGGCATTCTGGGTCCATCGTGCTTGTTTTTTTTTTTTATCTGGATTGTGGTGACTGTTAGTGTAATGGGGGGGCAGTCCAACTATATGTATATATATATATATGTATATAACATATATATACTATACGTACATAACGTACATATATATATTATTTGAAAAACATGTATATATATATATATATATATATATATATAGCATATATTTAACTTGTATACATAACAATAATTTAACATATGTGAAACATATATATATATATCATATATATACATCATATATATATATACACTATAAATATAGCAAGTACATAACATGAATATACCTAACTAAAACACATCTATATATATAAATCTATTTTAATTTAAAATATCACACATGCATATATATATATATCATATATATGCATATAAAAATAAAACATATAAAACATATATATATATGTATAACTCACACATATATACATATACAAATATCTTTCAGATATATATAACATAATATATACACATAAGTACACATATAAAATTATATAAATATTACAAACAAAGCACAACATATAAAACATAAATATAACATATAACAAAACATATATACATAACTTAAATATAACATATGTAAAACTTATAAATATATAACATGTATATAATAGAGAATATACGTAATATGTATAAATATAAATATATGCATCATGTAAATATATAAAACACAACTATATATAGCAAATACATAACATGCGTATATATATAAAAAAAACATAGGTAGCACGGATTTACACAACCGTGTGTTTTTGACATCAACGTGTCAAAACGCCTCACGTTTTGTCATTGTTCAAATCAGCAATTTCGTCAAGAGACGACGAAAAGTTTGCAGAGGCTTTTGTTTCATCTCGCATCTGCTCGCTATGTCTCACTTGGACATGTTGTGGCGATAGATCCATTGATACATTCTATCCCAGAATCTAGCATTGATTGTTGGGCCAGTGCGGTTCTTCATTTGACTGGGGCAAAATTTTGTGAGATGTTTCCAACAACGATCAATTTGTTGGGTTCCTGCAACTTTCTTTCTTCCCCGCACTCGCACCTTCCGAGTCCATTCACTACGCATGTGGACCACGGACTTCACCACCAAGCGTTGCTTGCGGTTCTTTCTGGCGACCGTCTTCCAACTTTGACATCCATCTGGGTAAACAATAGTTCCATGTTTTAATTGTGTCAAGAGGCCGCTGTCACGAATTTCGTCAATGGATTCTGTTGGTGGTTTTCCTTTAGGAGCTGTTAAAGTCAAGGCAGCCGGTGCGACTACCATTTTGCGGGAATCCTTTTGGGCCATTCCCAAGATTCGGAGAAACAGCATCAACTAGTTCCGCAAGCGTACATGGACGTTATTATCCCACCCCACCCCACCCCACCCCACCCCACCCCACCCGTGCCAACAACGTAGCACAGCGTAGAGCTGCCAGTGTGCTAGAACATTCCATCAACGTAGCATCAACTAGTTCCGCAAGCGTACATGGACGATATTATCCCAACACACCCCACCCCCCAATCATATACTTTCCATCTGCGGTGACCACGAAAATCACAACGCCTACACGGTTGTAGAAATACGTGTCACCAAAAACATAATATATATATATATTATTCAATATCACATATATATCAAAAAATAACATATATATATAACACGTATAAATAACATATGAAACATATATATATATATACATAACATATATATGTATGACTCACACATATATATATATATATATATATATTATACATATGGAAAATCCAGCATTTGTAGATCACTTCCGAGGGATACCCATGGTTTTCCATCTATATTCATCACAAGGAGTTGTTTACATCCACGAGCCCTGAGAAGCCAAAGAACACGCAAATGGACCTCCATGTAGGTAAAACTTAATATATGACCTACATGGGAAGGCATGGGAAGTATGTATGTATGTATGTCTATATATACATATATATTATCTACAAGTACCTACAACATGCAAATATATCACTCATTCATGGATGGCATGAATGGTATGGCTTACAGTATCACTTTATCAAGTGTTATTGCTAAAGTCTAGTAGCCTTATATCCCTATATATTCCCATTCTATCCCCATTAAATGGAAATATTCATGATCAAACAACGTTTCGGACCTTTGTGGGCGCACGCCGACATGCTAACTTTTTATTCATATCTTCAGCTGTAGGGGAAGATAAACAACTTTGCGGATCTTTCCAAAATGGGAAAGAATCTAAATCATGCCAATATTGCTGCAAGAAACCCATGCACTGCTAGACGCTCGAGGCGGTGATCACTCTCGGTCAACAGGCTCAGACATGTCGAGTCCCCTAAAGGAATAAAGATAGACGCATTAAATGCATACAACATATACATCAAGGAACAATATCAGAACAAAAACAACGGACGGCACATGGAAGTAAATATTTCAACTGACAAGTTAATGGTGGTCATCACGATTTTGTATCCTTCAACATTAGCAATATATTTGAAAGTTTGATCTCTTTTCACATCTCTGTTTTTGCTGCTACTCTGCAAGGTCAAAACAAAAGGGCAGCAGCATAAAAACAACTCGACTCAAACACCATGATCAAATTCATGAAGAGAATTTCTTATACCGTAGCATCACGCGTGTGTGCAAGTGCAAGACAAGATCTTACAACGTAACATCACGCGTGTGTGCAAGTGCAAGAGAAGATCTTACAACGTAACATCACGCGTGTGTGCAAGTGCAAGAGAAGATCTTACAACGTAACATCACGCGTGTGTGCAAGTGCAAGAGAAGATCTTACAACGTAACATCACGCGTGTGTGCAAGTGGAAGAGAAGATCTTACAACGTAACATCACGCGTGTGTGCATGTGGAAGAGAAGATCTTACAACGTAACATCACGCGTGTGTGAGTGTGCCCCCCCCCACCCCCCCCACCCCCTGTTCCCCACCCCAAAAATAATAACATGTCATGCGGGCACAACTTCTAACTGACGGGCATAACTTCTAACTGACGGGCACAACTTCTAACTGACGGGCACAACTTCTAACTGACGGGCACAACTTCTAACTGACGGGCACAACTTCTAACTGACGGGCACAACTTCTCACTGACGGGCACAACTTCTAACTGACGGGCGCAACTTCTAACTGACGGGCACAACTTCTAACTGACGGGCACAACTTCTAACTGACGGGCACAACTTCTACCTGACGGGCACAACTTCTAACTGACGGGCACAACTTCTAACTGACGGGCACAACTTCTAACTGACGGGCACAACTTCTACCTGACGGGCACAACTTCTGACTGACGGGCACAACTTCTAACTGACGGGCACAACTTCTAACTGACGGGCACAACTTCTAACTGACGGGCACAACTTCTAACTGACGGGCACAACTTCTAACTGACGGGCACAACTTCTAACTGACGGGCACAACTTCTAACTGACGGGCACAACTTCTAACTGACGGGCACAACTTCTAACTGACGGGCACAACTTCTAACTGACGGGCACAACTTCTAACTGACGGGCACAACTTCTAACTGACGGGCGCAACTTCGAACTGACGGACACAACTTCTCACTGACGGGCACAACTTCTCACTGACGGGCACAACTTCGAACTGACGGGCACAACTTCTAACTGACGGGCACAACTTCTAACTGACGGGCACAACTTCTAACTGACGGGCACAACTTCTAACTGACGGGCACAACTTCTCACTGACGGGCACAACTTCTAACTGACGGGCACAACTTCTAACTGACGGGCACAACTTCTAACTGACGGGCACAACTTCTAACTGACGGGCACAACTTCTAACTGACGGGCACAACTTCTAACTGACGGGCGCAACTTCTAACTGACGGACACAACTTCTCACTGACGGGCACAACTTCAACTTCTAACTGACGGGCACAACTTCTAACTGACGGGCACAACTTCTAACTGACGGGCACGACTTCTAACTGACGGGCACAACTTCAACGCAGCACCACGAAACACTGCCCACAGTGAGCGAAATGAAGATAAACGCGCCCTGGCAGGCAGTTTTACGCTCTCCCCCGTGCGCGCCGACAGGGTTCCGGAAGGAACAACCATCGTGTATTATCAATCACATAAGAAGTGCGTATTCATATATGTATATATGTATATATATATATTTATATATATTATGTATTATACATATGCATAGAGTCATAGAGTATCTTCATGTATCTTCCAGATTTCTTGGGTAGTTGTAGGAAACTTGCCCAAAGACATTGGATGATCCATGGACGATCGGACCGACTGAATCCCGGTGGACATTCACCGAGGTGCATGGTGGCGATGACATCGATCTGATTGGAGATGGAGCACACGTAGCCCCTGGCGCGAGCTGACATGGCCAACCGGGGATGTGTTACTACAACGGACAGATACCCGACATGGAGATTTAACAGTTTGCGAACTGGAAAATCCTCATGCTCATAGGTTTTTAGCAATTTTCCATCGCTAAATCATCATACAACATTTATGACAGGTAAATCATCTATAATATAATCATCATAAATCATATAAATCATGTTCTTCCGTAGCAAACGTAACAAATTACCGTTCCGGATAGCCACCATTCACTCACCAGTCGCGGCCGGAGGTGCTGCCTGCAGCTCTTAGAGACGACCATCTTAGCGGGAAGAGCGGGTGAAAAATCGCAGGATTTCAAATGGGAAAATGATGGGAATAACATCTGGAATAATCATTTCAAACGTCTGGAGATGTCTGAACACTGAAGAAAAAACAAGACGCATGCATGTGTGTATATAACTACAATATATGTATATATAGGCTCGTCCCTGGATGTTAACGTTCATGTGAATTAACGTTCATGTGAACTTGCAGAAGCAGTTGATGCTACGCACACGCGGGGTGGGGGGGGGATGGGGTGGGATGTTAACGTTCATGTGAACTTGCAGAAGCAGTTGATGCTACGCACACGCGGGGTGGGGGGGGGATGGGGTGGGATGTTAACGTTCATGTGAACTTGCAGAAGCAGTTGATGCTACGCTCACGAGGACTGGGACAATATATATATATATTTTTTGAATATATTTACAGAATTCTTCAGATATCTATATCATATTCATCATTTTTCAATATATATTTATATAGTTGAACTTACATATGTGTATGATGATGATGATGATGATGATGATGATGATGACCCTAATGAAACTTGTCAATTCCGCGACTAAATTTCGTCACGGAATTGACAAGTTTTACCAACCTAATTCAGGTTTGCGCGGTTCCAAGAGCAGGGACGAGGCTATATATACATAAATATCACATAGGGTCAAAGACGAATACGGTCAAACACGGAGGGATTCAAGTCAGTGGGAAAACGCCGCATGGTGCCCTGGGTCGCAATTTTTGACGCGGACCACATATCAAGTCAACGGAGTGGCGGGTCCCCTAGTTGGTTTATAAACCCCATTCACAATCCATTAGCTATACTTATAAGTGTCACAAATCAAAGTTATCGGAGTTATCTGCAAGACTTAAGTATCTATGGGGTCCCACATTGTAGCAAGCAATAGGCCTGGCCAGAGCCGACTGATGCACGGGATCATTGCCGTATTTGCGGTAACTTGTCATGCATATGACATGATTACTATATTAAATAACTATAATAACTATAACATCATTATAATGATTGATTAATAATTATATATAACATTAAAACATTATATAACTATATTTCATAGATTTTCATAGCATAGCATACGGGCATTTTTTCATACATTGACAATACATCTGCATCTAATTGCTACAAAGCGTTGCGATGCCACAGTGACAAATAGTGGCTGCCGGTGGCTGGGTAGAAGACGATTCCCCGCCGGATCGGCGGATCGAATCTTCTCCATTTGGAATTTGTAGCAGACGTCAGCGGAATTTAATGGTGGTTGAATGGGATTTTTAATGGTGGTTTAATAGGATCAAATGGGACATTTAATGACATCTGGTTGGTGGTATACCTACCCCTCTGAAAAATATGAGTCAGTTGGGCTGATGACATTCCCAACTGAATGGGAAACATGTTCCAAAGCACCAGAATCATAATATGACAATGTTCCTATAGCTCGTGCATGAAGACGAAGATGGCAATAGTTCATCAAATCATTGCAGTCTCTGGGATGCCCCAACTCTGCATAGCACCTCCACTGTGAAGAGCATTGTGAAGACCTGAAAAAAAAACGGGATGGAGTAGGGATCAAACCTTCAAACATGCTTAATGCAGGTATAAAAACCAGCCATTTTAGGAAGATAGTTTATGGGATAGAACAAGGATATATTATGATATATGAACATATATTAATTGTCGTAACAGCACATACCAACAATATAATCTTTGGCATAGTCCAAAACAGTGCAGCCAAAAAACGCATCTGCTTAGACCAGCATTTTCCCATCGAACAAGGCCATGGAGTACGGAAAAAACCCTTCAACGGGAGCACCACTTGGTTGACTCTGCATTTTTGAGGTCACACATTGGGTGGGGATAAAGCCGTAGTTTTCTTGTTGATGCTGTCCCCACCCCACAACATGGGAGATAGGTGTCAAATCCACTTGTTTCAGTCAAGGACGTGTTCCATCATGATCAGAATGCCTGTTTGGTGGGGTTTCCCTCGCAAAAAAAAAAACTAAATTGGATTCACCATGCCATGCCAACTCGGAAAAAGAAAACACATTTATATATGTAACATCGAAAACAAACACATATGCATCAGGAATCTAATTGGGGAATGGAGGTGCAGTTCGTTGTTGCCACGCCTTCACTTCACTTCAAGTTGGAGATAATAGTTTGGAGAGATACTGTAAATATTTTACAATATAGACTTGTGTGGTATCTATTTATCATAAATATCTAAAAACAACATATATACACATGCAATTGAGAAAATATATCAGTATGTTGTTGCATTTTCCTGGCATCAAAAGCATGGAATCTGAGAGCTTGGCACACTCCGAAGCCGAGAAAAAGCTTGCATACTCCTTACCGGGAAATCCCCGGGTTGGTTGAGATGGGTCCCAGGTGGCGATTTCTTCAGCGGTATGTTCCCAGGAGGGAACAGCAGGGGAACAGCAGGGGAATAACAGCAGAAGTTCATGACTTTTGACTTGCTTGGATTCTGGAATAAAAGATGGTAGGATGAACGGATGGAGCGGGTGAGTGGGGTAGCCTATTTTCAGACCAACCTATATGATGCATGTTCAAATGGTCATGAAAAACCATCTCGCACTTAAAATCTATCAAGGGAGGTCGATAATTTGGAGCCAGACCCACCTATCCACTCCAAAAATTATACGAGATGGAACCAACTCCTACGGGCTTTGCTCCGAAGTGGATTCGGAATTGGTGGACAGTCTATTAGCAAACTCTCAATGAAAAAGTTCAATCTTCTGTCCCCTAAGTGAAAACACATTGACATCACCAGTTGTGGGGGTCCCCGGGTTGTAAGATAGTCAACTGACATGAAAATGTGCTCAATGTTAGCTATTCAATCTGCTATACACCTGCAGCTCTATGTTAGAGTAATCCGATGAAGGACCATGGGCAAGCCATGATGATGAGATTCAACACTTTGCTGCATTGATATTTCATTTCACGTAAAAAAAATCGACACGACTTGGCAAAGCTAAACAAAATAGAAAGGAAATCATCACTATTTTAGTTGGATTTTACGAATTTCTATCTTTTTTGGGGTTGCTGTACAGGGATACATGGGGGGTTGGTTTCATTCGCCTGCGCCGCCATCCCCAACGCTGCCTGATGGAGAGAGGGAACCGTTTCGAAAACCTCGCTGCTCAAAAGAATGCACCGAAACCCGAAACTGAACATGGAACATCAACATCAATATTGGATAGATTGGATAGACAAAATATGACCAAATAATAATGGTTTGCCACTTGATAGACCTGGATAGACAATCGAACATGCTCGAACAAAACGGAACAACATGTTTGCTTGTCAATCGCAGGAGTCTCTCCGGGAAAAAAAAACTGGCTGGTTCGAATCAGAAAAGAAGACTCTAAACCCATTGTTCTGGATGCTCACCGCTGTGGAAGGGTGTACATTCAATATATTTGCACCATATCATACAACATTAAATAGCACATAACATGAAATTCCATGCTTTGCTGGGTAAACCACCCATTAATTACTTGCAAGTCCCAACAAAGATTTTGCGTCTATGGGTGTTCCCATAGACCGCACGTCACAAAACATGGCTGGCTGGGAAATCCCCGAACGAAAAAAAATGTTTTAATGGAAATTCCTTTCAATCAAAACGAAAAACACCAGAGGTTTTAATAGGAAAAAAACGTGTATATATACATATGTATGTATATATATATGAAATATTTATATAATAGGATATCCCTGAACTAAATAGGCAAATTCAGCTATAGATGGGAATGTTCCATTGGATAAATGAAAATGATTCTATGCAAAACCAGCAGCAGAGTTACCTTCGCCAGATCCCAGGAAATCCAAAACCAGTTTGACAGAAGGGGCCAAGGCATTGTGCTAGTGCTAGGGTTCCCCCTGGAAACCGCTAACATTGCAAAAACATGCAAAAACAATGTGTATGTATGTATATATATATATATATATATGCACCAGGCCCTGCCACCCCCCCCCATGGGATGGGTCCCATATACTGGCCCCACTTGAGATCTTCCCCCTCCGCCCCCTGTGGTGTGGTGGGGGTGTGGTATGGTATGTTGGGTATGTATGGTGTGTATGGTCGGTCTGGTATGGCATGTTTGGAAAGTATGGTATGTTTGGTATGTATGGTATGGTATGTATGGCATGAATGGTTGGTATTGTATGGGTGGTAGGTATGGTATGTAAGTCTGTTGGGTATGGTATGTTTGATATGACAGTATGTATGGTCTGTATGGTATGTATGGTTACTATGATGGGTATGGAATGTTTCTTATGTAAGGTAGGCATGGTATGTATGGCATGTGTGTTTGCTATTGTATGTATGGCAGGTGTGGTAATTATGTTTCATATGTATGGTATGTGTGGTATGTGTGATAGGTATGATAGGTATGGTATGCATGGCATCATTGGAATTTATGGTAGGTACGGTATATGCTAGACACATGTAGTGTTGTCAGAGTACACAGGTAGTAAATAGGAAGTAGATACATAGCACATGTATACATGACTATAGGTAGCACGTAGGTACTTTGAGGGAGTATGTGTGCTACATAGGTCGCCTAAAAGGTAGCATGTACCTAGTAAATGCGAGGCTGGTAGTCAGAAATGCTGCAAAGACCTAGCAAATACGAAGCTGGACCTCAGAAATGCTGCCAGTAGCTTGCAAATCGAAGGGAAGTGGGGGTGCTACCTGGGGATCCAACCCATTGGGGGGGTACGGGACCATATACATATAATAAACACATACATATCTAAATATACATATACATAGATGTATATATATATATACATATTCTATTATTATATATATATACATGTTCTATTAATATGTATATATATATATGCATATGTATATGCAGACTTTATAAAATTCACCATATATTTCATTATGTATATCTTACTTATTGCTTTGGCCTATTTCTGTGTTAGGGGCCATAGCTACCCAGGATCTATTTATAGAATCCCAGGAACTATTTACAGAATCCCAGGAACTACTTATGGAATCCCAGGAGCTATTTACTGCATTATACTGATACTGGTGTTATTCATTTCCAAATTCCTGGACCTATTAAAAAAAAAAAACATAGTGAGGCCAAAGCAGTCACCAAACCATCTGTCTACAATAATAGTACGCTTGTGGGTTTTGGGCAAGTGCTTCAAGGTAACCCGACTTTTGGTGGTTTATTATTAAATATGCTTCCCATTAAGACCACCAGAAACAATGGTTAGTAGATTTATAATATTATTGTTTTACACATGTTCTATACTACAGACTATTCAAAAAAATAGCCTTGGACTTCCAGGGTCACAATTGTGCCTTTAGTGATCCATGGTGATGATGCTGCTTCTACCACATTGCACCGAACCTAAAGGCATCACACATGCTTCCAAGCAGTTAAAAGGCACCACATCTTCGAGTCAAGTTGAACCAATATGGGTAATTATACATCTAGAAACTAAGATATGTAATAATTACAATCGTAATACAAACACACACAACAGATCGTCGCATTCACACCCTATGCTGTAGGCTTAAAAGGTGCTGTCAACCATACGCCTCCCGCACTCTTCGGCCATGCGGCAGCACTGATGGTTGACAGCACAATGACCGACATGACCATCATCTGCAGTGCATAGGCCTTGGGAATTCATAGGACATTCACTGGGAATTCATCGCACGATTAGGACAGATCAGGCTATAATACCGTCCCATGGAATCACTGGGGAAGTAACGACTCGTTTCCACATTCCGGGGAACCATTGGAACCATTTCTCCAACGCTTCCCGGCTGGCTTTCATGGCTTTCATGGCTTTCATGGCTTTCATGCTGGGTATACTGAGACCATGAAAAATCATCGAGCTAAATTTGCCCGTCCACTATATAGTATATACAAATGTATAAATATATAATACAAACCCTTAAAGGCCGGGAATTACTTCATGTGCCGCAACCAAACACCGATGCTTTCCAAAGGGCTGCGTTGCTGCTCTCCGGGTGATCCAACATCATCCTGCAGGGCGGCTATTAATTTGAAATCAGCCACGATGTTCAGATTCAGCATGAGGCCAGTTGGCTTATAGATGGTTAATGTACAGTAGATATAGATAAATGTGATTTAAATCTGTAGATAGATAGATGTGTAGATACCTAGTTAACATCATTTGATTTTCGTGCATCCATATGGCATGGTTGTGAGGTGATTGGCTTTGATTGGTAGGTATCCTCTGAGGAGTGAGTTTGCACATATGTGGCAAAACCTGATACAGTGAAAGCCCTTTATCAGGTATAAATGGTGATAACTGGGGTTATCATTCCATCAACGGGCTTACAACTGACTTATAACTGGCAAAAGGGCTGTCAGTGTCTAATGGTTCCACCATCTATATCTACTACAGACTTCCCCCTGCTCTCGCCCAGGACCCTGTCAACATTTCTGTCCCAGCCAGCCACGCATCTGCACAGAGGCGGCAATCAAGACGTCGATGCAATAGTCTAAACAATAGTCTAAAACCAGATATACAACTACCAACTGAGTACAGCATAGTATAAAATATGTATATAGATATATGTGAAACAATATGTATAATATAATATTAAATAAATATAAATATAACTAATAGATTATGTTGTTTCTATTTTAGTGTTTTTGTTGTGTTTGTTCAGTTTGTTTCTATGGCCATAAGCCATGGTGGCGCTCAGTCAGCTAGCTCCACTGTGGGTAATATGTTTTTTGAAGCATGGGCGGCTCACGGTGGATTTCCCGGTGCATCGACCCAGACTTTCTCAGCGAGGGAAAACGCCCTTGCTCACAGATTCAGCGAAGAGTGCTGGAGATAACTCTCCTGAACACAATCCGAAAACGAGGGCGAGGGGTCCGAAAATCTGTCCAACATATATGGCTACAATAAGTGTTGATGTCTGTTGTCCACATAGCTCCCACAAGACGTCCAAAGTCAGCAAGAACAACATATCACGTCCGAAGATATTGGGAGGTTTCATGGCGATGAAGTGGAGCACTCTCACATCATGGCTCATGTTGTCTGGTTTCGGGACATCTTCTGAAAACTCTCACACCAATCTCACCTGCTTGGCACAATTACTTGCTTGCATGAATGATGTTGTTTCATCGAATTGCCGTCATGCTGAGCAAAGGCCACCCCTTGTGTAATCCTATATAAAAGATATGATATCAGATGATATTGTACTTATATATATATATATTAATTAATATATATTTTATAGATATCATAGATAGGGCACAAATCTGACATGCATTCCCTAATTGGTCCTCCATAATTTCAGGGTAACACCCATAATTCATGATCATTACACTATATTACAGTACACTATCATGCAGAAAAGTGCTTGGAGCACCCTCCTATCCCTAAGCCTGCTGGGTAGATTCTGGAAGTCTGGTTTGCTGGTGGGTGAGTGGGTTTAGCCTGCTTGTCTTCCAGCTTCAGATCCACTCAAGTTGATGATCTAATCATCTCATCAGTTATATAAATCCTGTTTCTTTTCAGTTTTGTTGACAGTTAAATCCCTATGTGCGATGCTCAAGTCCGGTATGTTCCGTGTTCTGATGTTTTAATCCAGGTCTTTCATGGTTAAATTAAATAAAATCCATAGGTTTTTCTTCCAGCAGTTTTGATGGTTTAATTCATGTTTTCCATGGTTAAGTTAAATGGCGTCTAGTTTGTTATAAATACTGTACCTTTTTGTTCATGGCTCAATCATTTAAAATCACGTTGAACATCTTTTTGCCAAACCGCGATGCGACTGCGCCAGGCGTCGCATGCGTTGCACCTGGGATGGCGACGCCAGACGTTGGGGCGGCGAACGATGGACCGTCGAGGCCACGATCATCATGGATCCTCGGCGGCAACGGTTCCAGCGCCGAACCAGGGGTGATACCCTCTGGTTATGTCAAAATAGCTATTGAAAATGACCATTTATAGTGGATTTTCCCATTAAAACTGGTGATTTCCATTAAAAATGTTAGTTTACCAGGGTTGATACATAAAGTCCATGGAGTTATTATCCAGCTTGTAACTTCTGGGGGCAGGGGGCACCACCTTGAAGGATTCGAATGGTGAAACATGGTGAAACAATGGCCCTATGGATCTCAACAGCGCACGAGTGTGAGAACTGGGTCCATTGAGGAAATGAAGAGGTAAAACGATCCATTTACTATCATTTAGCCACCCTGTGGCTATCATGGCATTAAATGGCTATTTTTGTTTTTGTCATGTTTAAACCAACTTCAACTCGGAATATGATGGCATTCAAAATGGTTGCAGCAACCGGGCCCCGAGTTACAAATATCATGTTCGTGTGGATCCAGATACTTACTGACAAGGGACTTAACCCCTCAAGTCATACCCCAGTCATACTTCCTCAGAAGGTACGGCTGGATCCTGGGCCACAGTAGTGATCTGCAACCATGCGTCGCTCAAGTTTCTCAATGGGATTCTGATTTTCTTTGATGGCAGTGTTGATGATGGTCTCATCAAAGCAGTGTGTAGCCTGTAGCTGCTGGGCATTTCAGGTTGAACATCTCAGTGTCGCTCGTTGATAAGTTACAAAGGGTCCAAAAATTTCAAAATATAGAAAATTCCACATGAATCATAATCATCTGGTTCGAGAGTTTAGACAACAACGATCAAACTCGTGCACACAAAGTGTCCACAGCTTCTTGCCCTATGAAACCAAGTACCTCCTGAGGAAGTAGTGGGGTCTGATTTGTGGGTTTAGTCCCTTCTGAGGAAGTATGTAGATCCATCGGGTCAAGTACTCTCTACTTGTATGTCTTTGCTGACTATTGCAGCAGTGTTTCCACATTTTCCAAGCTTCGAATTCAAATCCCAAGCACGAATCCATCAGCTGTGTATGAGTAAACATTTGGGAATTCCTAAGGCAATAGCTTCACTCCACCCATACTGTGTATATATATATATATGGCCATGAATGGTTGGTTGTTGGTGTTCCCAATACCCACAGTTGATGATGTTGCTGGTGATGTTTTCGTTGTGTGTCAAGAACATCACATCCCCATCACTAATCATGAATAATTGCTGTAGGATGCTGCAGGTATTAACCAAATGTTTCTCAAACAATCGTAACACATTTCAGCCCCCAGTGTTGGCTGTCTCATCCCCATTCTGTTGGTTCACAATGTTTACCCCTTACCGTAATGAACGACATAGCATGGCATGGCTATTGAATAGGAATCAAATTCTGGGGTGTTCTCAACATTGGTGGGGTTGGTCGAGATCGCTAAGGATTTCCACTGGAGTCACGGAGTCACGGAGTGTCCCATCCGAACATCACCCAGATAGTTTTTGTGATAAGATCTAGCCATAATGAACCCACTAAGGCCATCGTTTCTGGTTTGATGTGGTTTGGTGGTTGAGCTACCCCTGAAAAATCTGAAGGCCATTGGGGACGATGTCAACCGTGGGTTCATAAACCCGGAGAACCTATAGGATACCTCTAGGCTGCTTAATTGGCGGGGTAGAAAATAACAAATTACGACTATTTGGGCGAAATCAGCCTAACTAATCATCCACGGTTTGTTGATCCGGAGGTGCTATTAATCATTCCACATACAAGATCATACAGGTAGCATATTTGGAAACACTGACTTGGAATCCAAAAAAACACCATGTGACAGGGGGGAAAGTGCAAATTAAGTGAAATCACCAACCAAACATGGCAACGGGAAATCCCCTATCAATAGAGGTTTTCATGGGAAATTCATCCATAAAACGATTTTCCATTGCCATGTTTGATTCCCAGAAGGTATACATGCTATGTAGCCAGGTACGTCCTTTTCGATGGGACACATCAGCCCCGCAATCATCATACCCCAGTTTTACTTCCTGATCAAAACTACGGCTGGATCCGTAGGGGTTACTTAACTCACCATTGTTAAATTCCCGGTAACCTGTGAGGAAATAATTCATGTGGAACCCCGATTAGTGTGGGGATACTGTATTGTGTCAAGTTTTTTCCAAAATAATTCTGAATCAGTGTAATTGTTTGGGTGGTCCGGTATTGTGTCATGTTTTTTCTGAGGCATTTTTTTTTGTTCAGCATTGTTTTTATTTACTTTTTTATTTTTGGAATTATTTCATTTTATTAAAAATAGTTGGTTCATTGATTACTTAATGAGTGAAAAGATTAATCAAAAATTAATTGATGAATTAGTTATGTAATTGGTTAGTTCACTCATGAATGAGTTAACAAATTAATCTATTAATGAAATAATCACTCAATTTCAAAAACAAAATATAATTATAGTGACGGACAACTAGCAGCACACGGGCTCCAGGGCCGGCGCCCGGATTTACAGGAAACATGCCGAACGCCCCGGCCGCGGCCTCGGTTTTGTGCGAGCCTGCGCACTCAAAATGCACATGGACATTTCACTGTGGAACTTTACAAGGAATTGGCCGGACACGGATGATACCACCTCGGATGAACACCGGGCCTAACACCTTCCGTAAGAACCCATTCAGTGTGGCCACACTGTTTGGGGAATTTCCCAAGATCTGGTCTCGTCCAAGCGTCCGCTAGAACCACATGGAGGGAGGTGCTCTCCAAGACCAGCGCGCCCGAGCGGGACAACGCGTCCAACAGGTCGTAGGCCTCGCAAACGTCGCGATGTTTCAGACGGCAATGACGATCGGATAAGTGCTCTGCTAAAGTTACATATGGCAATTGAAACAAGTTGGTTTATAACTCCAATAATTAATGAATTTTAATCCAACAAACATAACATAACTCTAGTTTCCCACATTGTAGTTCTATATAATATATAAATATGTGTTATGTATGGCTTAGTCTGAAAATTTGAGGAAACCTTCAATTACCAAGGATCATGATTTTTCCTATTGAAATGGCAATGACTGGGGATATCCCAGGTTTTGAGACAAACCTATGTGTATATATATAATGTATATAGGCTATTGAACATAATGATTTGCAATATATAGGTAAAATCAATGTAAATCATTTGTAAATGGCCATGTTCAACGGCCATATTAAATTACCGACGGGTAACACTCACATGATAGGTATAAGGTTATGGCTATCGCTGGGTAGTCACTGAAAAATGGCTGCTTAAATGGGAAGAAATCAGGGTAAATAGGTGGTTTTCCAGCAAGCCATGTTTGATTATATACAAGAACACTATTATAACATACATATATTGCAATAAAGGGTAGATGTATTGGTATACTGATGATGTGGATGATCGTCTTAAATGGTAGGTGTATCAGTCTTCTTTAGCCTGTTGGGACTTGACGATCTCCCGACACTACAAGATCCTAGCTGAACAAAATTCCCACTTACCTCAGAAGCCTCGCAAAGAGTCTCAATATATATATACAGTATACAGTATACCGTATACCTCCGTACCGCTCCCTTACCCTGAAACACCAGAGACTTTAACGCTGATTGCATCCCTGCCCACCTTTCATGATCTTCATGCTATCTGCTATCCCTGGTGTGGATCCCTTCAGGTCAAACTCACAGCACTTATATAGAAGTCAATTCAACTTCTGGTAATATCCCTATAACTCGTGAGCAAACCGGCCTCACCATCCGACATTCCAGGTTTGATTTTAGGAGTCGCTGTCTGTACTGATGGATGGATAGCTGGATTGGAATTCCGACGAAAAACCACTGATCAACCCCTTAAGGTGAAATCCAGAAAAATAAACCATCCCTAGTAATTAGTGGTTTATTGTTTGTGTGCCCTTGCCATACCCCCAAATTGGTTGTTTGGTGGTGGTGATGCTTCATTTTTGTGCATCAACCGATATAATTCGTGGATCATCAAAATGTTCGTTATACATCTCACAATCGATTTTGGATGGGAATTTCATGCTGTTGTTTTCCACTGTACTAATCCTTAGGTACTCCAACCTAACAATGGGACATCAAAACAGCATCAAACTCGATGATTCCCCAGCTTGCATTGTTCAATGATACTGTTTGTGGGTAACCACACAATATCACTACTATATATAGCCATTGATACTGTAGCCATTACTGGAGGGTATCCCATTAAATCCCACGTTATGGAATCAAAATTGAAAAATCTCATTTTTTTCTAAATGCTTGGTCTCCCGGCCTGGTTCGTCTCACGTCGTTGTTCAGCAGTGTCCAATGTTCTCTTTTTCACTTCTCCCAAGAAACCGCGCTGCTCCTCTGGCAACGAAACATGTCCGGCCAAGGTGGTGCACTGTAAGTTGGTTATTAAGCCCGCTAACT